ATGGAGATATGAGTGGTGTTTTTCTGTTTTCATCCATTCACTTGACCCCTGTTCACAATCGAAACGAGATCACGAGCTCGTAGCTAAATTATGCGAGTGCCCCAGTGCACTGCTGACTCAAGATGCAGCACAGAACTGAACTGAACACTGCAGCCATCAATGTTCCAGTTGTCCAGTTGTTTGAGTCAGTCTCACACAAATAGCTGACATAACTATCGGATAAGAGCATCCCTAACTCGATAACTTGTCATCTATCTTTAAACTCTGTTTTTTTGTTTTTGTTTTAATTTACATTTTAAGTGTGTTATTTGAAAACAGGGCTGTCAGTCACCCTCTTCTGCTGACATCCTGCTCCCCTCCCAGAGGCTTTGCAGCTCTCCAAGCATGTAACCTCATCCGTGGCCATTTCTGTAGCACTCATTCGACTTAGGCCCATATCAAGCCATCCAAACAGGCCTCTGAGACAGCCCCGGCCTGCTGGCCTCAAATTCACATCACTGTAGCGTGGCTTATGTTAGCCTCAGAGGATTTTGCACAGTCACTGTGCTTATGAAATACACGTTTTAGCTAAATTTGGGGGATTATTTTTATTTTTGCAAAAGGTCGTAGTCGGCATATATAATAAAACTATGTATTTTCTCAAATTCTCTTATTTTTGCACCAAAATCATGGAGCAAGCCCACCATATTTTGACCCTGACCTTTATTTTTGGTGATTGATGAAGTGTGTCAAGAGGCATTCGGCACAAAACACTAAAATTTACCCAGAAACAAATATTAAGGTCCAGACCAGACTTGTAGTGTTTAAGGGTGTTTGCACGTCTCTACATACATGCATACACAAACGTGTATAAGCACATGGCTCGTACATCCACAAACAAACCCCCATCTGTGCTTTCAACACAGCTGGACTATGATGGCATGTCCTGGTACAACCTCCCCCCTCCATAGCCTAAAGAGCTCTCCCTCTCTCTGCCTTGGTTATACACTCACACACACACACAAACACACTTAGCAACCTTAAAAAACATCCTTACTTATATTCTTTTTTCCTCTTGCTTTTTCTCACTGCAGTCTTTTCTCTATCCCTCCTCCCCCCCCTCAGCTTCCCTCTCCCTCTTTCAGCTGCCATGTTTCCCTCGTCACACCTTTCAAACTGAGTTACAGCCTGCGAGAACAAGAACCGTGGCACCTCTACAATCACCTGAGGAGCTTCTCTCGGCCATACCCTGTCTCTCTCAGACCAAGCACTGCAAAAAAACACGTCTCCCTGTCGCTTTGTTTACCGTCCATTCACACCACCAACACCACCTCCACAACAAACCCCCAAAAGCTAAAGTATATGAAAAGATTTAGTAAGGGCTCTTTCAGTGTGTGCTCCGCAACATATGTCATTTGCCACATGTGCTCGGTCACAGAGCAGGCCGCTGGTGTAAAGAGACCGTTGCTGTTTCTCAGCAACATGTGCAGATGTAAAGGTTAAAGGTAAAGGTTAGTAAAGATGATTTTTCGAAGGAAGTGTCTAGACAAATATTAGGCATTGCTTTCTGGAGTACTCATGATGGTGCTCATCAGTGATGCTGATATTCCCACCTCGGTGTAAATACAAGCATCTGCTGGAGTTTTTCCTCGCGGCCATTAAATTAAATGTGCCTTAATAGGCTTCTCGCACGTTCCGATGCTTACAGTATTCCCACGTACGATCGCCAGAGATCGTCTTGCATTACATCCAATCTAACACCAAGTCAGAGTGCAACACATACACAATGTGCAACATGCAGAGCTGTGTTGAAGATATTTGTTAGATATTTATAGCAAACGTGCTTTTTCTGAAATCTCAAACTATCCCTTTCCTCTCGCCTTCTTTCTCTTTACAGTGACACCGTGCACCTTGCAGGTACTCTCTTGTCCTTCTTCCTATTCTTGTAACTAGAAAAAAAGACAAATGCAGTCAAAATGTCCAGTTTTACCAGTGTTCTTTTCCACACTCTCGGAGTGAAACGGTTTTATCTGTGGCTGACAATGGCGGGAGAAGGTGGGTAAACGGTGGCACCAGAAAAGCATCTGCTACAAGGTTTAAGGAGCTGCAGGATTCAATAAAAGAAGGGTAGGACCATGTAAAAAAAGGCTGGCAGAGGGGACACACACCATTAGCTTAATGACAGAATGAGGAATGAGGAATAGCGAGATGAGATTCAAAAGCCAACCAGTGCAAAATTTGCCTTTAACAGGAATCAAGGCGAGTAATCTAATAAGTAGCGTGGCAAGGAGAGGCAGAGAGGGCTTGATGTTTTTCCCCCCTCCGCCTCAGGTAAAGGAAGAAGAAGAAGGGTAAACAGCAGAGAAAAGGATAGTGGTGCCATTAAGTTGGCTAGCCGTGACCATCAGGAGCATTAATGCTGTCTGCTGTGCTTTCTTCAAACTGGTACCCTTTGCTTTGAACTACTCCTGCCTTCTTTGTGGGTATTCCTGACTCCTAGCTTCCATGGCTATTATGGATCCCTCCACTGGTAATTACACATTTCGCAATTTCTGATGTCACTTCAAAGCAACAACAGTCTTGCCACGAAAGCACACACCGAGTCGCTGAAGTACAAAGCAAAGCCTCGAGGATTATTGAAGCCACGCATTGTTTTTTTCTTTTCTTTTCTGATGGCCACTAATTCAATTAACAGCACATGCTAACAGCTTCAAACCAGCTTGAAAGAAATGGTTCCGAAACAAGACCAGGCTTTCTTGGATTTCTGTGCTTGGTTTCTGAAAGGCTCAGCAGCTAAACTGAAGTTTAATTTGAATTTGTGCACGCCTTCTAGTTGCTCTCCCAGTATTGCATTATGTGTTAAAGGATGCGCAGCAAATGAGGGGGCGTGATCTTTATGATGAGTCAGAGTGGAGAGCTTTGGCACTGGCTGTCCCAGACCAAAGAGGGAACGCTCACTAAAGCAATATCAAATGTGAAACTGCAGAGAAAAACAAAAAGAAGCCAGATCTCATCTTAATCAAAGCACTGGAGCTTGTTTCAAAACACTCCCTGAACCCTACTTTTGTAAAACCGCGTCTGTTCATAGAGTAGATGTGTGCTGCTGCTGACAAAGGTCTGAGTCATTCACATGGGGCTATTGATGACAAAGGAGAATCTGAATGTCCACTAAATAATTGTGACAGCTTGCAGAACAAACAGCAGTGCTGACAAAAGTAAAACCCAGAGCACAAGAGCTTCACAATCACTAGAGGCAAAATCTCTTAGGCCTAGAAGTCAGCAGATAAGTGATATTTAATAACCGTCATCTCTACTTTGTTCAGTACATCGGTAGAGACAATCGGAGGTGCTTGTGGACTGTTGTGAGCTCAGCATGAGCTGTCTGCGGTTTGCGAGCTCAGCTTGACAAGAGACTCAGGGCACTTGCTCGACAAAGGCATCAGATCGTGCATTGATTTTGCAATTAAGAAGACTTTTTGTGTGTTAAGCATGCAACTTTTTTTTTTTTAATATGATGTAGCAGGTAAGCACTCTGCCAGAGAACGAGTTATCAAACATGCATTTTAAAGCACCACACTGTGACATTGATGATTGCCCATCTTTTTGTTTGCATCATGAAAGGTTTAGAGTTTTCTCATCTGAAGTTTAAGGCAGGGTTGAGACAGTGCTCTTGATGGAGACGCAGAGACACGGCAGCAGGAAATGGGGTCACGTCTCCCACAGGATCCCCTTCCTTTTGCTAAAACTCTGTCTGCCCCCAAATTTAATTAGATTCTGATATCAAGCCTTCCTCTCCTATGCTTCCCTTCCTCTTCAACACGCGTGAAATTGCATGGCACTATCTATTATTTATTCACTCTCATTTGCTTATTGTTTCTTATGGATGCCTTTGTTAAGGCACTTGCAGCTCTGCTGCCTGTGATAGGATGCTCTGCTTCATCTCCCTCACTGCTCAGACCCACCTCCTCTGCAGGTCTGAGCCCAACTCATTTGCTGGCGTTGGTTGGGGAGCTATGGATTTTTTTCCCCTTTCACCCAATGACAGCACGGTGAGGTGCTATGAGGGCTGAGTGCTAATGAGCTGACTCTGCAATGCTGGGGGAGATGCACTGTAACACAGGGGGGAGTCAGAGGACGGAGCAGGCGGAGGCGCTCTGGCACAGGGAGAGTCAGAGGGGCCGTTATGAGCGTGCCACAGAGGGGTTACAGGGACACAACCTCACCATCCAGACAGAGCTGTGTGCCCACAAAGTCAGCCATTCAGCCTAAACTGAACTCCTCCTCTGAAATGACATAACAAAATGGCTCTCCGGAGCCTGTTTCTTCCAGTTTTGTTCGTGTTGAATATGTGTTTCTGCTTATTTCAAGAAACTGCAGCTAAAAGGATTACAAAAACAGGTTATTTACTACATCAGCAACTAAGCAAAGTTACACCAGTTGCACAAGAGAAGTCTGATAACCAAATAATAAGACAAAACATCATTTGTGTGATGAAATTAAAGGCATTCACACTACTTGCTATAACAAAGACGCTGAAAATCTATAAACTCCATGAAATTGGACTACAGATGTGAACTCCTCCAGGGCTGAGCCCCTGGTTTGTGCAACTGGCAGCATGTTTACTGCATGTTGCCAAGGGAACTTCTTTTACAATGTGGGATTCATACCAGCTCACGTAAAACTCATGCAGGAGTGCCATAAATGTACTAACACTGCGTGCTCCCTAACTGTAGCCGATGTCGTTAAAAATGTGAAAGACACATTTAAATGTTGGAGAAATTTCTAGAAAATTCAGGATATATTGAAAGAAAAAAACATGATTTTATTAGAACAAAGATTTGTGCGAGAAAACGTCCTAATTTTATTCCCCGCTGTGACTTTAAGAATCACAGTGAAGTGAGAAGAACTTGTCTTGTTTCCTCCTGCAGATGCTGTAACATCTATAAGCTCGTGAATAACCGCGGTCACTTTTCGAGCACAGAAACACATTAAAAAAAGAAAAAGAAAAAAAGCAGACTTACAGGCATGGGTGACCGAGAAGCTGTTGGACGACTCGAGGTTGTCGACATTGTAGTTGAGGTGGAAAGGCTTTTCCGTGGTGTTCTGGTTGGTGTTGTAGAGTTGGACAGCGAACCTGAACGCGCTGTGCTCCTGCACCGTGGAACGCATGAACAGTCCCCCTGGAAGAGATGAAAACCCGAGATCAGACAAAGCGCTCACACACGACCGCCGGCTCTGACCGGCATTTTAAGGAGTGAGGGAGAACTCCGTGTAGTGATTTAAAACACGCCACTGTTATTTAAAAGAATACGAATTTTTATGTTTATTTTTTTTAACCCGCGCGCTTCTCTGTAACTCTTCGGACAACGCAGATGAACCGCCAGTGTCACGTATATCTTATGTTTAATAAAAACCCTAAAGATGACAGTGACACAGTCAGTGGTGGCTTTAATGTATTTTTTTTTAAATTCAGTGGATTTCAGCCTGCAACATATGAGAAATCAAGTTGGTCTCTTATCATTGCGCAGAGCTCCGCGCACCGTATCCTCTTTAAAACGCAATCTTGCAGTTCAAATGTCCGTTAAAAACAAAAATCACAAATCTGCAGCCGTGTAACAACAAAACACTTACCGATATTGATCTGATTGGGAAATCCAGCGAATGAGCGGTCAAAGAGCCACAGCAGAAAGAAAACCACGCGCTGTGCCATTTTCTCCGACCTGTCTGTTCAACTCCTTAAAAGGCTCTGCCTAAGAAAATTCATATGTTCTGGATTGAAAGCCGGGCGCAAAAGAAAATCCAGCGGATAGATGATGGTCGCTCACAGTGCACCAATTCATTCATTGAGGTGCTGCCCAGCTGCAGAGCATTTTTTTGCAACTAAAGAAAGAGAGGGGGAACCGAGTGAGCAAGAAGGATAGAGAGGGAGAGAGAGAGGAGGGGTGGGGGTGGTGGGGGAAAGAAGGAGCTGATCTGGACTCCGATTGGATCCGCCAATGTTGGTCAAACTTGATCTGATGTTAAATTTAAAAATAAAAAAAAACCTCAGCCCGCAAGCGACGACAAGTTATAAGAGCAGCACTTGCGATATTAGCCTGCTGTGGGATGAATCAATTAAAGGAGAAAAAATAAAATAATAATAAAAAGAAAAACACTGCAATTGGCCGATGATTCCGTACAGCCCGGCCGCTTCCAGCTGTGGTAGTTGCTGCATTTCAAGGCTCGATGAAGACGCTGGATTTGCACCATATGATTCAACCTGCGGGTTTTTTCTGTTTCCACGTTTGTGGCATATCTAAAAAGTTTGTGTGCAAGAAATTCCGCTATCACTGTATCGATCCACTGTCGAGAAAACAACACTTTGAAGGCTACGTGTGATAAATACTTGTAGGACACCCAGAGCGCCCTGGGTACGCAGAGCCAACAGAACTGTCCGTGGTCCTGAAAACGTCTAAAAAACAAGTCTAAAAGAAAGCAAAAAACATGCATACTGCAGTGTTTCTATTGACCTCACCTGAAAATATAAACATGCAAAATACATATTCGGCTTTCTTTGACAACTTGGGGATAATCCAATATCAGACAGCCATCAACAAACTCGTGTTATTTACTTTAAGTTGTACTCCTCTATTGAAACATCTATCACCCCTGTGATTCTGCTCAAGAGAGAACAATTAAGGGATTACTGGCCCATTTATCACCCTCACCAAAGCGCCTTGAAAATTGAGTTTTTAATTGCATTCCAAATGACTGGGGCTTCCGCTATTGATATTGCAATGTACTGAGTTCCTTTTAACACAGGGCAGACTGTGCATTCTGTGTTTAACTTTCTACCATTATTTTTATTTTGCATTAAAAGGCAGCATCACGATGTAACCTGATTTCTTGCAGTCATATTTCTTATTGGCATTTATAAGAGCCAGCAGTGAGATCAAGTATGGGGCAGCTGGTCAAGCATCATTAGCAAATAAATAATATGGAACTAGGATCATGCACGTGAAGGTGTGTGTTAGTCATGCTGCATGACCTCGTCATCAGAGAGTGACACTTCCTTTTCACCAGGGGTCAGATGACATCTGGGCAGCTCTCTGGGGAAAACCTGCGATGACATCACATCCATTCTCTGGTCCCTTTATTGCTTCTGTGTCCAAAGTTCAGGATGTTGGTTACTTGACCCTAAAGGCTGAAGTCATGATGATCAATGTTAAACCATGACCTGAAGATTTTTCTTGCCTGCTATTTCCACAAATTCACATCACACCATAGCCTGGTTTAAAATCTCATCGGTGGTTTGCAACATGTTGTCACTCCCAAAGCGTAAAACGGGCTGTGGTTTGAGGGGGAATAAGAGGCCACCTGCTGATTTGGTTACAAGCGATGCAAAACAGTTATTTGGAGGAATACCAAAGGAGCTGTTTAATAGATCATTTACAGTAGATGCTGATTCTCTGTGTAAACCAACCTAATCATGCATCATTTCAAACAAAACCTACAAAGAAAAAGCATTATTCGCTACAAGGGGAGCCCAAGTAATTGAGATAAGACCTCAGTATAATTGATATTAAATGACGATGACTGTGCTGCATTATTTGCAATTAGGACATTTAGGCCATGGCGCATTATCCTCTGCAGGAATTACAGAGTGTAGAAATGTGAAGATACAATCTACGTGAAAACAAATAATTATATGATCCGGCCTTTTTGGGGGATTTGAGAGGAGTGTTACTCGAGCAGGCGTAATGAAGAGACTAAAAAGCAGATGAAAAGATGTTTCTTTTTATCTCACGATGATGACGATGATTCACAGGCAATAGCTCAGAGCAAGGCAAGCCTTACCAGCAAGAGTTATTCATTTGTTCCCTGCATCCTCCTCCTAACACAACAGGATGGAACCTTCGTCTTTGCCCATTAGAGGATATGTGAGCAAATAAGTTAGAAACTCTAATATTTATTAAAAATGACAGCGTGCCTCTGTGGGAGGTCTGGAGGCAATAAGTGCAGCTATTTTTAGAGTTGATTTGCTCGTGATTGCTGGGTAATTATTTTGTCATCCTGACATAACAAGCTTATGTTTTCTCCAGGATCAGAAAATAATCTCGACATGCGAACATGTGTAATGTGGTAATCATTTATAATCAGCAGGTGGAAGGAGTTTCTATTATTTATTGCCACAGATTGCCTCATGTCGGTAGTTCTCAAACTTTTTTGAGCTCGTGGCTCCTGGCCAGCTGGAAAGTTTCTGCTGTTGCTGCATAAACGTTGAACATATTGAATGCAGTTAGGCTCATATTTTTGTAGGACAAACACACGATTTTTGTAGTTTTGTACGCCAGCGCAGTGGAATTTAAATCAAACAATCAAGATGTGATAGAGGTGCAGAGTTTTAACTTTTATTCAAGGGCTTTAACAAAACGTTTTCTAGGAATAGCTTTAAAATTAGTGGCATTTTTATACAGAGTCGCCCATTTTCAGAGGCTCATGAGCTGGACAAACTAATGTAGTATTAAAAATAAGGATTTATTTTAATGGTTATAAAGGTTTTCACTCCTTTATTGAAATACACACCTATACCATAACAATACCTCCACCATGCTTGACAGATGATGTGGTATGCTTCAGCTAATGAGCTTTTTCTCTCCTCCATACTTTTTCTCTTCCCATCATTCTGATATAAGTTCACCTTGGCTTCACATCTGTCCAAGGGTTTCTTTTCTTTGAGATGTTTTTAGGCGAAGTTCAATGTGGTCTTCCAGTTCCCGAGTGTAACCAGTGGTTTCCATATTGTTGTAGATTACCTGTATTTCCATTAATGATGGCATGTCTCAGTTGTTGAGAGAAGTTTTTTTTTTGTTTGTTTGTTTTTTAACTATGGAAATAAATCTACCATTATGCACTCCAGTTGTCTTCTGTGGGTTTTCAGGCCTTTTGTTGTTTCTGAGCTTTCATAGACATTCATCATTTTTAAGATTCAGTATCTGGGCCCACATCCTCATTTTAGGTTTGACAGCATTTTTAGTAGATAAAGGCAGATGGCTTAAACATGAATTGAGATGCGTTTTGGGGAAGGCCTGGCAAATCCCATGAGAAGTGAAAGAATTGAAAAAAGGCGAGGGAGGGACAAGAAAGCGAGAATAAACAGCTTGTAAAGCTGGGGGTGTCATATATAGATAAGGACTGGAAGTGGCATGTTTGGAGGTGTGGTAACGCTCCTGAAATCCAGATGGTTTATCTCCAATTGTACTAAATGGTTGATTTAACCACTCCTAAAGTTTCGGCCTCTCTCTTCATTTATTTTGTTTGTTTGTTTGTTTGTTTTTCCAGCCTACTGATGGACTCCTTTACCTGCAGTGACATCTCTTTGTGTTTAGAATTACAATAAAAAGTGCTTTGAATTAATTTGAGGCATTAAATGTGCTTCATTTGTCATAAAATAATGGAACATACCTTACCTGGCCACAAGGCTGTTTGTCAGCAAAATGCCAAATTACTTTTGAGCCTCTGAAAATGGGAAGAGTCTGTATAAAAACATCTCTAATTCTTAAATAGTTAATGAAAATTTTATGTAATACCCATTGAAAATTACAGCTGAAAGGCTGCACCTTCGTCACATATTGATTACTTGAATTAAAACACACTGTGGTGTTGTATAGAGGCAACCTGTTCAACATCCACCAAAGCCAAAAGCCTCCCTGACCCCCAATCTCAAATGAAAATTGTCTAATTTGCATCTGAGTTCATAGAATTCAGCTTTTAGCTATTTTCTTTATAGCTTGTAAAAGACAAACTGAAAGCATCATAACCTCCAACTTAGCTCCTGCCTTGGCAGAGGATCTTGCCACCTTGCAGCTGTGTCTCTGCCAAGCAGCCAAGCTTGAGTTCACATATTTGTTTCCGCGTTGCCCATTACTGAGAGCTGTTCCTCATCCATCTTGACGGTCTAAGGATAGAGGGTGTCGTTTGCTCTACAGAACGGGAAGCCCCTTGAGGCAAATTCTTGATATGTGATGAAGGGATATGCAAATCCATTGCATTCGACTTGCCTTTCAGCTTTGCTGTTTGTGTGTCTACTGTATTAGTGTGAGAGGAATAAAAACAGTCGAATTTCTTTGCGCTGACAATAAATCTTAATCTGATAAAGGACAACATTGAAACCATGACAGAAGACGATGCTTCAAATACAGATGCTGCTGCAAAGAAGCTACAAATAGCAAACTTTTTATTAACCTGGCAGCACAGAAGATGTACAATATGCACAGTTTAAAGGTGGGTACCCAGGATGCAAGATCACCATAAGCAACAAAATGTGAAACAATTTTAGTCTTTCTCCATCTGTTCCTGAGTATATCATTACTTGGATACTTTATAAATCATTATTTTTATTTGAATGCACCTCAAAACATTTGCGTAATTGCTTTTTTAAATTCAAAGGTCCAAACACTGCAGTGCTTTATGGCTTTTTTTCTGTATGGCTTAACACGCAGCTCTGCAGCTCCGAGTTTAGGCTTTCCTCTCACTCTAATTAAACAAAAAACTACAGTGTTGCAAGCATTTGGGAATGAAATGGCCCATCTTTTTATATTCATATTCGTAAGCCTAAAATGTATCATTGGATGACATCTGGGTTGTGTAAAAGGTTCATATGGAGATGTAATCCATGGCCACAGTGTCTCTCCAACTCTACAAAACTCATTTGGCTGAGTTCACCTGAGCCGGTGACTCCTACTGGTTGATAAGAGCATCTGTGCCAAGATGTGTGGGTCTGCAGGAGGTTCTCTGAATCTCTGCATTTCCTGTGAAGCTCCTCGCTGCCAGGTCAAAAAAAACAGCTGGTAACTCCATTTGTGTCGGAGACAGCGCCTCGCTGCCTACAGCCTCCTCTGGTGAACAGTGGGAGTCAGCTCCGCAGGTCTGGGTATACGCAGGGA